CCCTAAAAGGTCTATACTTGAGGATTTTTTGGCCAAAAATCGATTTTCTGAGAGTTGAAATCGAACCAACCGAATATGCGGCTAGAAATATATGAAAACATCATTCGACTTGGTCATGTAGGTACTGAAAATGTTCGTGAGGGATCATACTAGATGTTCAAAGGTAGCAAAGGTAGAAATTGTTTGCTCATTGGGGTAATTTAGCCGTGAAACTGAAGCTCATGGTCGTGATTTTCACAATTTGGTCCCAGAAAACCGTTCTTTTTGACACAAAAATCACACAAACCTGTAACAAATGAAACTAGAAATCGATCCTCGTCTAAAATTGGCTGGATATAGACACATTTTCGTAGGTATTTTGGCTTTTAGAATTTTTAATTGAAAAAAATGGCCAAATTTGAGGTGATTTTCGAATATTTGTTGCTCTATCCATGTCCAGAGGTACATTTTGAGTTGTGATATGGCGTTATATCGATAGCTAGGAGCAAACTGAGTCGGATAGAGGTATTTTCAGATTGATTTATAGTGGACTGGATCACCATAAATGGGCAAATATACAGAAAAATGACAAATTTCGGCGATTTTTGGCAAATTGACACTATTTTTTTTGAATATCCTGGAATAAATCGCTGTAAATCGATCCTATTCAACGTAGTTTGTTACGAGCTGCCAAATTACGGCAAAAAAACGGTATGTTTATTTAGGTGATTTTCAAAAAAAATCCGGGGTGACACCAGGCACTATATATCAAAAAAGTGCCGGAACAAAATTTTCATCTCTCCTCATGATCTTTCGATCCCGTACTATTAAATTTTGAATCCTTTTTTTTCGAAAATTGATCACCCCTAATGTATAAGGTGATAAGTGTACAAACAAAACGATCCAAACCTCCAGCAGTGCCCCAATCGAGTTTTTTTTATGATAAAAAAAGATGGGGAGTAAAAACCAAATCAGAAAAAAAAATCAGGCACCTTCATTATCCAATATGAGGGACTCAGAGGAAAAATGTTTTGATCAAATAGCTCTCCTAAATGATATCATTTAGAAGAGATATTTGGTCACGATTGAAAGGGCGATTTGGTGGCTTGAAATCGAAGAATTTTTTTCAGCCAATTTTCTGTTATCATACGCAAATACAACAAACATTACAATACAATCAAACATTAATCAAAACCAATAGCATTATTTCTATATCGGTGACATCTCGAGCAAGAACCTTTCGAATTTTCAAACAACAAAACGAGCCAAGAACGAGAATACACATTTCTGAAAAGCTGTAAAGCTGTAATGCAAAAACTAAAGCAAAATACCAAATTAATGAAAATCATGTTTTGTATTCTGTAAATCATAATTTCATTTTATTAATTTTCTGGAAAACTTAGATTTGAAAGATTTGACTCGATAGAGTCCACAGTTTGTGAGAGCATTCTATGAATGTTCTAAATGAATATTAGTCTTAAGTTTAGTTTCAACATTCGAGTATCAGTATCAGGCGATCGCTTACATTGTATTCTATTGGATGTTTTATTCGAAGAGTGACATCAATAGAGTCTACCGTTTGTGAGAGCATTCTATGAATGTTCTAAATGAATGAGTCTTAAGATTAGTTTGAACATTATTCGAGTGTCACGCAATCAGTGGAATCAAACGGATCGGCAACGATGGCCACAGCAGCATCGACCGAAGAACTAGCATCCGATGGATGTCCGGGGGCGACAGAGACCGAAGAACCAGCATCCGATTGATGTCCACGCGGTTCAGCATAAGGTACATCAAACGGATCGGCAACGATGGCCACAGCAGCATCATTTGGTGACATGAACTCAGTCAAAGTTTGATGAGCTTTGGCTCTGAGATTTTTCGCTTGTTTTGCTTGCCAGACGCCTTTCGGTGTTAGATAAAAATATTTGACCAAATGGAATTTGTCCATTTTGTTCTTCTTTATTTCTTCTTCGTTTTCGCCTTGGCCATGAATGTATTCGAGGTTGTCGGTTTGTTTTGCTATGAGGTCCAGCTTTCGAGCCATTCGGTTTAACGTACGGTATTCGTCTTTGAACGGCACATAATTCAATCCACAAATCAAATCGAGAATGATGGCACAAATTGTGAAGAAGTAATTAACTCTTGTGTGCGGACTGTTCTGTAGGATGTGCAATACTATTCAACGAAAACGAAAGAGAAGATAGAAGAAAGAATTCGACATTAAAAACGAAGGAACGAAAAGCATTCGTGACAACGTGACTGTGCACACAACTCATAGAATAATATGTGCACAATCACATTGACATTTCCTTACCATTGTCGAGAATCTTGCAGATGTACCCGGCGACATTTCCATTCGTCGCGGGTTCCATCGGATAATTTGAAATTCTGAGAAGGTATTTTAAAATCTCGTCGAGCTTCTCAACCTTGATGATGTTAATGCTGTTAACGCTGTCTACAACTTCTTTGTTGTATTCCAACAATTTCTCGTCCCGTTGCTTCATGTGTGCGATGATTCTACTAAATTGCATTTTTCCACCTACAATATATGTACACAATTATATGATGAAATTGAACGGAACTCAGCTTAGAACAGAAGAGCTATCGATTAGTATGTCATCTGTTGAGAAGCCATTGTTGGACTGTATCTCAAAATGGAGACTCACCTTCGGTTGGCTTAGATATTGTTCCATTTTCGTCCACAATTATATTTTCCTCAACGACGGTCCAAAAATTGTCATTGATATTTAATAGCTCCTTATAGGTCACATCTCTCAACCATTGACCGTATTTATTCATGTTCAACCCGCCAAGGAACGTTGTAAAGAATTCCATGTGTCTGTTTCTATTTTCACTATCCATACATTTGCGCGTATCAAGAGAAAATGGTCTGAACGGCAATTGCGTATCCATATCCATTGCAGTTGCCATTTCCGGAAATTCGTGCTTGGCTGGAAACTGAATTAGTGATAATGGTAGTGTTATTGATTGTATTTTTCTCAAATCCCAGTCCCATCTCATGCACTGCATAAAAGATGAGACATGAAAGCAAAATGAAATTTTTCATCGAAATTTGCGAGAAGAAAAAAAAAACTACTTACATAGTGTGAGCCTGTTCACTGTCGACTATGTATGCGTGTATTTCATTTTGTATTGTTGTTCTGAGCTGATGCTGTGTTTGATAGAAACGGAGAAGAAAGAAAAAAGAAGAAATTAGAAATTCGCTCAATGTTTTTTCTCTCTTTATGCTGAGCATGGAGATGAAAAACATAGTGCACCGTGCACAGAGTAAAATTCAATACTGCAAAACAACAAAAACGGCAATCGGCAATTGGCAATAGCAAATACATTTTTTCTTAATTGGAAGGAACAAAAATAATACACGACACACAATTCGCTCAACGATACAATATTCGTATCCAATATTCCATTTCACACGAATGCACAAACAAAATTTATTTGATTCCATTCGGGAAAAGAGAACTCTTCCTATCGAAGAAAAAACGATTGACGACGATTATTGACAATTTGATTCACTTTCAGATTTATATTATAATTACTATGTGGAATAAAAAGGAAACAATTATCATTACTTAAAAAGAGCGGATTCAAATGCCGGCAAATGAGAACTGTACACAATAACACAATAGTGACAACTAACAAGTGGAATAAGCACGCGTCGAACGACGAAGTTGTGTCAGTGTGTGCGTTAGGGGTGATCAATTTTTAAGAAAAAATGGATTCAAAATTTAATAGTGCGGGATCGATAGATCATGAGGAGAGATGAAAATTTTGTTGTGGCACTTTTTTTATATATAGTGTCTGGTGTCATCCCGGCCTTTTTTTAAAAATCACCTGAAAAATGACCATTTTTCGACATATTATCACAAATCGGCCATTTTCTCGAAAACGGCTCCGACGATTTTTTTAAAAACTGCCTCAAATATAGCCCCAAGTTAGAGCTAAAATTTGACATATAGCTTATATCTGGCAAAACTCTGCTTTTTGAGATATAGCCATTAGAAGTTGGAAAAAACATGAAAAATCGACAAAAATCAACTAAAACTCTTTTTTGTTGCCGTTAACAAGGGCAAAATCATAACCAAAGTGTTTTTGCGTTCAGATGAATAAAATTCCTCCAGATACCAGCCCCTCACCAAGTCTTTTTATTCCACGCAATCAACAAAAAACACAAAAAAGGACTTTTCAAGAAAAAATCAAAATCAAAATCAAATAAAAAGAATTACATTGGTAATCCCGAACTTTTCCGTACCGTTGGCCTGCGTAAAAACCCTCAGAAAGTTTGAAGCCAATCGGAGTCGATTTACGGGTACCTCCCATACAAAAGTGTCAATTTTTTTAGGTTTTTCTTAGGGCAAGTACCCCAGGATCAGATTTTGATTATCTCAATTATTTTTTGAATTATCGTGTTTACAAACAGCTACGACATCGACAACGACGACGACGGCACACGAACGGAAAAGTGTCTCAAAAAGTGGTTTTCTACGCGTTTTATGAGTTTTTATGATGATCTAAGCTAATTTTGCGAAAAAAGTTTTCGGGACCAATTCCTATACTTTCCCTTGACACGTTGTGTACGGAAAAGTATAAAATTCATCATGAAAAAACTAAACATGTGATAGTTTCTTAGTATAAAAGCGATATGTAATTTCATCAAAACAAAATGTAATTTCATCTGTCTGTCCAAAAACCATATGTTTTTGAACGAAAAAAAAATTAAAAAATTTTCTCCTCCGGCGTGCGACTCGAACTCGAGTCCACACGCTCATAAGTCTGCTTTCCCACCTACGCGCTGATTTTGCTTTATTTGAAAAGGCGTTAGTGTTGGTTATTAACTACAACATTTCATGTTTCATTTTCTTTGGCTCAATACACACCACTTTGTGTTTGTTTAGTGTTGGTTGATTTTGTTGGAAAAAAAAATCGGGTACAAAACAACTGATATCAAATAAAAAAAACTTCTTTCGAAGTAATTCCTCGTGCCGAAAGCGAACACGAAACAGTAGATATAAATTTTAAAAAATCATTTCGGAGCGATTTAGATTTGCTTTTTTTGCATTCTTCCAACTAATTTCAGAATCGCTCCGTAATGATTTTTTAAAATTGATATCAACTGTTTCATGTTCGCTTTCGTCACGAGGAATTACTTCGAAAGAAGTTTTTTATTTGATTCCATGTATACTACAAAATATCTGTAAGAATTTACACGATAATAACAATCAAAATGGGATTTATATGACGAATCGTGTAAAACATTAAAATATCGTGTAATTTTTAATGTTTCAAAGTTGAAGCAAACATTTGACAGGTGCGTATATTCTGCATTGCATAAAAATTGAATGATTTCTTTGGAGAAGAGTCCATACACATATTTTCAAATTAATTTCCATTCATTCCAACCAATGCAAATAATGAGAATGTCTCGTTTTCTCCCAAAAAGCCATTGCATTTGATACGGTGATCAACAGTCAATATCCCATCATACCATCACTCTTGTTTGTGAACATTTGATTTGGAGAATTATTTGGATTTCGAAATATTGAGAAAAATGTTTCAAACATGTTCAGAACTCATGTAAACCAAAGCCAACTCTCGATGGGATTTCCATCGCACCAAAATACAATTGCTTCGGATCCAATTCAACGCAAAACGGTTTTCAGAAAAAGAACTTGAATAAAGTGGACTTTCATTGCATTCAAGAAGAACTTCAATTCTAGACAAAAAACAACAAATTCGTTTGTTCGGATCGGATCAAACGAGCGACTATTTTCATCCGTAGAACGGCCAATGTCAATTCAATTAGGCATTTGTTCCGTTTGAGACTGTGTTTTGTTGGGTCTGCTTAAAGCATTGATCGAGACCTTTTATAAAGCAGAAGATTACCATATCTTCATTGATTTTTGTCAGTCACTTTGTACTTGCAGCTCATTGTCGCTGTCTGAAACCTTCTCCGAGATCAAATCGAATTGTAAACGGAGTGAATCTAAGTCTAATGTTTGCAGTTCAAAGTCACACACTTGAATTGATTGTACGAAATCGATTGTACAAAACAAATCATCGATTGGACCAAATCCTTTATTTCTTCAGACCATTTCATTTACTTATACCTTCCGAAGTGCATTTGATTCTGGTGGACTTCGTTTCATCTCAATTTAAGCCTCAGCGCTCTAAACTGTTCGTACATTTTCTTAACATTTGATTCGAGCCTTTCGACAAAAGGTACATTTCCATGTGACATTTTTCTACACAAACCAAGAGCGCAGGTAATTGAAGTAAAGACTGAATGAGTTCATCGTTTATAACGTTTATTTAATGCAGCAAATGTACTTTTATTCAGCAGAAATAGAGTTGAATTTTTGGGAAAAAAGGAGACATTGATTGAGCATCAATGTTCAAATTTGTGTGAATTGAATAGGTTTGAATTTGTTTTTGATTTGCATATAAGCACCGACCACGTCCAACAATATGCATTTGAAGTGCATAGTGATCTTTCATCGAATGCTTGCAGCCTCACAGTCTGTCTTCTTTAGCTAATTCATATGATAATGGACTCAAACTCCCGAATCGCAATGAAAAAAAATTCAAATTACTGTCATCAAGAATTTATTATGAAATTTTCCAGCAACAGAAATGCAAATTCATAAAATATTGGTTATTTTTATGAAATTATTCCGGTGTAGTTCACTTTCTTCAAGAATTTTAATCGACATTTTTTCAATCATTTCAATAGCATTTTCAATCAATAAACATTTGAGCTTTGATGGACTGGAAAATACTTCATTTTTTATTAAAACCATTTGATTGACTTCAAAAACTACGATTTTGCAAATTGTTCAATGAGATCGATCACCTAAATGACAAAAAATGCATAGAAGCAAAATGATTTCAACGTGATCATTTTCGAAGAAAATATTCTAACTTGAACGCTTGAATTCGTCGATCCAATTGGAAATGAATTGCATGAAAAGAATGCATTTTGAATTCTCTCTGCACTTTTTGAAAATAAAATAATCTTGCTATCAATGGCAACTCGACTGAAAATGTAGTTTTACAGAGATTTTCAATAGATCATTTCGAAATTTCACTAGGCTTTTTCAAAAAGGTCTATTGATTCAAATTGTGGATTGGATTTTTGAACGAAAAATGAAATGAATGAAACACAGTATTTTCTCAATGAAATACGCCGTAAAATGCAAATCTGTCTCATAATTTTTCAACATATTCGTAATAACTACCTTACCTTGATTAGCGAAATTTATTTATTGAAAATGAATTTTTTTCTTTCAAATTAAAAATGTGGAATTGTGGATTTAGTAAGACAAACTTCTTTGCTTCAAAGTGCAAGTGAAAAAGAACTCTAGACATTTTTTTAGCGACGACAATGTGTGCGATGTTCTCACACGTATCAAATTTCATTCCTCGAAACCAAAAAAATGCCGCCGGAAGTGAATTCAAATATGGCGTTCGAACACGCGGTTTTCTATAGACAACACGTTTTATATGGAATTTTCCGTCGGAATCGGCACAGGTTTTTCGCTAAAAAAATTACATTTTTGATTCTCGTTTTTTTTCTATGATTTTTTTTTCGCTTTTCAACCGATTTTGAATGAATTTATTTCTGCGGCATTTTTTATGCTACTGAAATTGACTTACAATATTACTTTTCACGTGAAAAGTTTTGAATTCACAATCGAGCCCTTTTCGCGAAAAATTATGTATGTGAAAAAGAATCGCCGAAATATTTCAACAAGACCACTTGAAAATCATTGTTTTATTTGAACGAAGGGTTGTAACAGTGATATGATCGGCACATGAGCACCATCTCTACTGATTGTCATTATTGCCATGTAAATGAATAGAATGTCTACTTCTTCTTCTTTTTCTCAACATCAATTGCATACGACTTATGGTAACTCTCCGTAATCATTAGAGGTGGCGCTACTTATGCGCATCAATTGACTTTTGCATTGGCTCTTATGTACTGTGCGTGCCTTTTGTATTTGAATTATGTTGAATTGTTGTATGTTCAATGCAGAAAAATTAAAAATGGCAGCGGAAAAATAGGGCCAAAAATTGAGCTGATTTTGTATCAACGAACCGATTTCACTGAGAGGTAAACTACGAGTGACGCGAAATAAGATGTGCCGTTCTCATGAACAACGCGAATCGTTTGGATATGCGTGTATTTGTTTCATTCGAATTTCCCCTTAACTTCATATGTCACGTTCTGAATTCGCGAGCAACGACGAACAATGCAAAGTGAGACAAGGAGAGCGTGATGTGTGTGTGGCACAAGTTTTGGTGGCGAGCCACGACGAAATGAGCGTATGAGTTTGTGTGTCTTTATGAACCACACAAACACATCGGCAATGTGATCGTGACGAATTAGGCAAGCGCGACGACAAGCTAGAAATCCGCGCCATGTTGACATGAATAAATGATTTCGCCCATCGAAGAGAAATGCGGCGAATGAAGCATATTCGAAATTGAATAGTGTGGCCACTATTTGCTTTCGAAATATTTGTGCAATGAATTTTGAAGCATTTAAATTGCCTAGAATTCTTGAGAAGTGAAGCAGAAATTTCTTCAAACATGAGTGAAATCCAACATCGATTCAATTGAAATTTACTTCATTATGAAAACAATTTCTTAGTTACGCGGTCGCCTTTTCCATTGCCTAAGCCCACTTATTATTTTTCTGATAAATAAATGATTGCGGTTTTTAATGTAAATGTCTGTCTTTCAAACATGCGTTTGATTTTCTTTGCTATATCAGAGAAAAACACTTACCAGTAGCGATTGGTCTCTCACGAGTATCAAATTCCATTCTATCGGAAAAAAATGGCACCGGAAATAGAATCAAATTATGGCTGACGATTTCGACGCGACTTCAATGGAAAAAATTATGTTTTGTTTAAAATTTCACCCGAATCAATTGCGTTCCGTTTCTTTAAAAAAAATTCTTTATTTGAATTGAATTTTCATAAAATCATTTTTTCCATATTTTTTCCGTTTTTTATATGTTTTTTTTCTTCCCGTCTTTTCAATGTGAAATACAACTTTGGATTTGTTTCTCGAAAAACACTTTGAACTCGGCTTATTTTAGTGACCGAAAGCTTGATCTCTTTGAATTATTTCGAAAATTGAATGAAAAACCTTATTTGCAATTCATCTTAGCATTTGTTTGCTTCCAAATGGCAAATTTCTATGAAATTCAATGAAACAGCATTTGAAATCAATGTGAAGAAAACCGTGTGGAAAAAAATGACTGACTGCCTTCAGATTCAGTTGACTGTAGTTGATTAAATTTATGTTTTTGTATGAAGAAAATCACTCGGTCCCAAAATAAGCAATTTATTTTGACTTGTAACTTTAAACGATTTCAGTTAACTTTGATAGACTTACACTACACGTTGTACTAATCCAATCAAAGTAAGTCATTTTTGTCCGAAATTAGTTAACTGACTGGTCAGTTACAATATTTGCACACGGGAAACCAAGCGAAAACAGATTCGTTCCATTATGCGCTGTTCCCAATTAAAATTATATTGCTCATCAATTTTAAAATGGATTCAGTTTATTATTGCGCAAAAACCGATTCGTCTCATTGGACAAAAAATTCGCGATGCAGCCCATTACATTTGGAATGGTTTCTCTCCAGTGAAAAATGTAGCGTAAAATGCGAAATTTCATGCGATAAAAATATTTTTCTATACGACTTCACCTGGTTGGAATGATTTTTTTTTAGAATAAATATTTTTGCACCGACAAACATTTACTCAGACCAAAAAAAATCGCCTTTACACTTACAATGAATTCCACATTAACAGATCGCATCGACAGAAAATTCAAGAATGCTAATGAAAAGTATGTCGCCGTTTGTTGTTGTATGGTGCGTTCTTTGTATCGGTCATCACAGCGAATTGCGATCGTGCCTCTTCGTGTGATTGGAGGGGAATCTGCACATTCCGAATATACACGATTGATAATACGAATCAGAACAAAGCAGCGGGAACGAATAGCTTAAACGAATCTTCAGGATGACATCATCGTTATGAAATCAGCATGAGTCAAATCAAACGGCAGCATTGAGTGTGAATGAAACTCCACCGCCATATTGAAATGGAAAGTTATAAGAATATTTTGATGTCGTTGTAGGACCTGACGCATACACATACTCTAGATTACTTTTCTCTTAAAAGTATTTTCGGTTCGATCAGTGTTGTCGCTGTCAGTTCGAATTTATTGTGCAATATTTTGGAAGAAATATCAGAATTCTGAATCGATTCAATTGCCTGATAATTCATTAAAGCAAACAATTTTTTCACATTCAAAGTGTGAAAAGCAAAATGATTTGAAAAATATTTTTTATTCACTGTATTAGCAAGAAAAATGTTCGTTTTGAAGTTTCGAATTGAAATTCATTTATTTGATTGGAGCTACTGTTTTGACTAACATTATTTTCATAACCAAGAAATCTCATTACAAATATCTTATCGTTTACTTCATATTAATAGAAAGAGAACTGAGCACTTTCAGCAGAATTGCAACCCTTTCTCTTAAATCTACTCAATATTCTGAATTCAAAGTAAATTGAAATCAAATTAAACTGTGGAATATTTTCAGAAAATTATCAATTTATATCACAGCTATTACGCAAATGGCGAATGGAATGTGTGAATGTAAATTGCCACCGTCACGCACACCAAAAAACAAGCATCAGCTTTGCTTTCGAAATGCCAAACAGAATTTCTCTCAGCGATGTTGCGGTCGATAAATTCAGTAAATTTAAGTTCACAAACCATTTTCGAATTATTTCGCTACCAAAAACACTTCGGACTAAATTTAAAATCCGATTCTTTTCAATAAAAGTTCAATTTTTTCTTCCAAATTTCTTTCTATCAAAAGACAGACTATTTTTTTTTAGAAAATGGATTTATTTTTCACATTTTTGTGGATAAAAATCTAAACTTATACAAAGAGAACAATTTTTGAGGGTGTAAATTAGCATTTGCAATGAAAGTTTTTGTTCGACATTTTGAATATAGAGACATAAGTCGAAAATATTTGAAATTGTGGCTACGTAATGAGTTTGATTTTTTGTCGGTGTCTGAATTTGAGTTTGATTCTAAATCCGATTCGATCCTCGTCAATTCGACGTTTGTTCAATTTGCACGTAGCACTTGAACGCGACGACCATCGATCGATGCTTCCCACTTGTTGCCCAATTTTGTCTTCACATAGTCGAATTCTAAGCGATCAATGACCGAAAAGCCGTAGCTCATTAATTTCAGATTGTTCAACAGGCGAATGGTTGAGTCGATCGGACACCCTGGGCCAAAAAAGTTGAGCTCGACTAACAATGGCAACGCTTGAGCGATTTCGCTCAAAGTGTAATCACTAACAGCGTCTGTGTTTTCATTGGACCAACGCAAATTGACTATTCTGATTGATTGATGCCGCTTGAGAAAATCCGTCAATTCATCAACCCAGCTGTAAATATCCAAGTCCATGGTGATTTCTTCGAGTCGATTGAACGAGAGTTTGATCGTTGACACCCACTGTGTGATGCCACCATAGCTTTTGAAAATGATTTCCAGTTTTTTCACGGTCCTAAAATTGACCACGTCACCATTGAAAGTGGCAAAATCATCTGGGTAGCCACGCAATTCAAGGCTTTCCAACTGGGGCAATGTTTCGCTTGGAACTCGAAAAAATCTCGCCGAATAAACTCGATTCAACGACAAGCTAAGCATTTGCGGATTGACACGCACCACCGCCAAAATATCTGTGGCTGAAATCTTGCCACCACCGACAAATGTCAAATGCTCCAAATTGGGAATGTGTTCGGCAATTGAAGGGGCATCATCGAACCGATTGTGAATCAAGTCCAAGCGACGCAATGCAGGATACCAATCGTTGAACCTCGTCATTCTCGTTCCCAAATGACAACCGGTGAATGAAGCTTTTTGGACGTTTGAAAATGGCTTTTTCATTGCTGATTCGAAGGCGAACTTGAAAATTCCATGGAATGAAATTTCGACCAACGATTCATAGCAGAACTTGTTAACGTATCGAAGCACTTTGATAGGAGCGGGACGCAATTGTTTTTGATAATCAATATGAAGTCTCAAAATTAAGTGACCGTAGCATCGCAACAAACGTAATGATGTTTGCAAGTCATGGACAATGATCCATTCCTCCCCAGTAAGTGACAAATCATCTGGATACAGACTTTCAACACGAAAATAAAACTTTTTCTTGCCGAATTTTCGCGCGAACGCCAAATCAGCGGCCGGTTTCAATTGTGTGTTCGTATGAGCGATGTTCACAAAATCATCGACGGTCGAATGCATGAAAATGTGCTCAAGACAGTCGACATTGATGTCTGTGAGCTTCAATTCGTTCACGAGACGTTCATCACATCGATCTTCCTCCATTTTGAATGCAACTCTCTAGACTGCAAGAAGAAAAATGTTCGAAATATTGAATGTTTGGAAAAACAACTAGGCCTCATTAAATTTTAATTAGAAACTAAGACGAACAAAAAATATGAATTAAATTTATTGTAGTTGAATGTAGGAATATGCGATAAAAGTGCTTAAGCTCGTAGTTTAGATCACTTTTTGCGATCAAATGTATTGCGCAATAGAATTGCACAAGTTGTGAGCCACAAATCAAGAGTCACATGAAAATTGTCCAAAATGACTAAAATATTCCGCACCTCTCGAATCCGAATTTTTATCCGCTTAAAAAGCTCGAAACTGTTTCCACTTGTAATTTGGAAATAAACTTGTCGGAATATTTATGTGAAGAATAAAATACTCTTTTTCCCAAATCACTATGAAATCAAACTCATGAAATTGTAATGCTGAAAACAAAGATGGCGAACACTGTCTTAGCTAAAAAATAAAAATGATCATTCGCTGTTTGCTCTCGAGGCTATTGTGTGCTGAATTAGTCTACCAATACACATGTAATCACTACCATTTGATGAAGGAATGTCCATGGAAGCGTGCATCCTATTAGCAAATTAAGTGTTGTCGTTGTTGATTTCGAACTTCTCTCCGAATCCATTACACTTGCGCAACAACCAAAGTAATTAAATTTGTTTGGAATCATAATAATTTAGTGATTAAATCATAAAAATTAAATCATTTATTTAATGAAATAAATTTTTGTCATTTGTCTTATGATTTTTTTACAATGGCAAATTCGCGGGCGATTTCATCATAGCGAATCAGATATGGTGATGTCATTTTTGGTTCACGGTTTTTGTCACCAGTCGCACAAAAATTGAAATTCGCTACGTGTGAAATTTAACGAAGGGGAAATAACCATACATTAGCGATCGCATGGTTCCATTACAATACACACACAACAACGGCATAGTTCAAAACTACTCACACAGAGTAGCGAACAGCACGAATATTTCCCCGAGTCTACATGCTTCTTCTGCGGCATTCATAACAAGCTGAACGGCTTTCATAACAAGTGGTTGCTTTTTTCAATTCCTCTCCAAATCGTGTTCGTCGCCATTTTTTTATTTGTTCAAAATAAATATTCGACATTTTCCAGACAAAATAATTTTATTCTGGACTTTCGAACAATATTCATTGAATTTTCTTCTCCGTACCTTTCTAAATCTGTATAGAAAAATTAAATATTTTTTCTCAGTAAATTCGGGTAAATGAATACTATTTATTGCGTGTTTCTTGTTCGATCAGCGACCGCCATATTTATGAATTCACTTCGATTGATTTTTTGCATTACGTAAAAAAAAATTCATTGTGAATTAGTCATGGGTGTTTCGAATGCATAAAAAGAAAGAACGAACAGAAATGACAATTTCAAACAACGGATCTTTTGAGCGAATAATGGAAAATTGGCAACAGACCGTGCAAAATCCAAAAAACGGATTCCCTTTCGAGCTCAAAGTGAATTTGATTGAAACTACGTATAAAGAGGTAAGCAATACATCAAACATTGAACATTAATTTGAAGTGAATCTCATTCTAGAATTTCACGTTGTTGTAGTATAGATTTTTTGTGTTTGATCGTTATCTATTTATTAAATTGGGGGAATGTTTTTTTGTGTAGATCATCAAATCAGAGGGAAAAAATTTATGCTTTTGTTGCCAAAATGCATTCAGTTCTGCGCTGTTTCGTGGATTTCTCATTCGAAACTTTTTTTTGTCCATAATTGCGTGTGAATTTCAGACCATATTCGTGCTTTATATGTTTTTCACAAATAAAAATTGTACAAAAAAAAAAACGAAATTTCAATGTTATGCTGCAAAAAACAAAAGAAGGTCGGAGAAATTTTGTGCGCAAATCATTTTTGTCTGAATATTTTTATCTGTTGTCATTTTTAGGCTTAATTTTAGTTAGTCTACACACGATTTCACACATTCAAATCATAGCACGAAATTTTTGTCATAAAAATAGCTGAAAATCATCATACATTTGGAATGAATTTCATTTAATTCACTCAATCAGCCATTTTTATTTCCTTATTATGAATTCCTTCAAATAGAATCGGCGATTCTCTTCATCCATGCTAAAACTCCAGCGGCAACACTTTTCGAATATTCGAACATTTATCAAATAAAAGTATGACTATGTGTGTAGCCGTAGCCGTCTTGCATTCGAAGAGCGAAGTCGATGTTTCATTGCAGTATGGCGGCGGAGTTTCATTCGGAATAATTGTTTCCCTTTGTCCTTGTCTCTGTCGCTACGCTTATTCTACCGTGATGTCATCATTCTCAAAGCTTCGTTCTGCGTTCGCTTCGTCTTCATTCGAACGAATGGTGTTGTCGCGAGTTGTGAAGGGGAAACATGAATTTCGGCAAAGACATATCACACTTCGCATCTCGCGACTCACATGCACTCCAACATAGAGATATAAATACACTTATACCGACAGAACATCAAATACACAGCGCTTTGGATCGCTGCAGATGCGTTCGTGTCAGTTGTGTGTTCGCTCTCTGTTCGATCGGTTCATTTTGATAAATACGCTGCAATTAATTCGTGTAATTTTCATAATAATTTTTCTTCGTTTGGACATACAAATTAAATCATTTTTCCCGTAAAAATCGTACTTTCTCGGTAAATTCTTAATTTGCAATTATAATTTGGTGATTTTCTTCTTAAAATTTCCGATTTCATCAAACGATTTTCATCCATTTGTGTAAATTCGAACTGTCTTTTGTGAAATAAATTCAAAGTCGTTTTTCCAATAAAAAAAAATGCGCGTTAAAATTCAAAACTAGCATAAAACGTGAGAAAATACGGAAAAAGTGATTTTTCGAAAATTCATTTCAAGTAAACCACGTTTTTTGAGCGAAATAATTGTGTCGATTGGATGAAATCTTAGGTAAAACATAATTTTCCATTGATAACCGCATGGTCATGTTCGAACGCCATTTCCGGTGGCATTTTTTTCGATTCGACGAATGAAATTTGATACGCGTCTGAGACCACCCGCAATTACATTTCGAAGGCTTTTTTGCTGAACACGTGTTGCTATTGTTCCCTTCTTTGTTCTCTTTGCTTAAAATTCACAAATATATAAAAAAAATCAAAAGTATTGCTATAAATGTTTTCCACAAAATAAATTTTCAAATTATTCAGTTGAAAATGTAGCTTTGGCGAAATATGTTTGATGCATGAAAGGTAGGTAAATTCTATGAAAAAAAAAACTAGAACTGATGGTCGCAGTGAGTGTTTCCAATAAGAAGAGAAAAACAAACGCAGTGTGGATGAATCGCTTTCAATTTCAGTTCAATTCAAATGAAATTTTAACATATTCAGTTCGAACTCAAATTAAAGTGTTCATTTTAAATCAAATTCCATCAAAAGCAGAACAAATCTTATTAGGAATTTCTTTGTCGATGCCATTTAAACATAAACACTCCAAAAACATTCTGCGTTTTCGATATTTCCTCCAAACATTGTGTTCTGAACGAGTTAATTTACAACAAACAATTGAATCACACCTTATTGTTTTCACTAATTCAATATTTTCAATTCATTTAAAACAAAAGAATTTGAAAAGAGTACCTTGAATGCATTTCGGTATTATCATACCATCATCAGCATCACGACTAAACAGAAAAGTCGTCGGTTGTCACGTAAAAACATCGGTCGGTGTAGCATCATAGCAACCGAGACAGCAAATTTGACTCGATGTTCCCGTTATCCAGATTCAATGCGTTGTTGCTCCTCTGAATAAAGTAACTTTCGTATGCGTCTAATTTGCGCGCGTTGCCTATCTCTTTCACCAACCGTAAGTTGCTTATGTCGATGTTCAAATGACCGCTGTTCAATGCATGCAATGCTAAGGCAGAGCGGTAGCCCTGTTTGTTTTTTATGCACAAACAATGTTCACGGAAACGAACTGAAATGTTACGTTTCGTTTGTACAATGTATTCACACATACAAACGGGGCAATGAATAGCATAAATGCCAGATTTGTGTAAAGAATCAATTGTGTCTTTGGTTGAACCCAACAAATTCATTATTTTGGTTTGATTCGTATACACAATGGTTAAATTATATTCACGAAACTTATTTTTTATCTTGTTCATAATTTGTGGGATATATGGCAAAGCAACTCTAACTTTTTCCACTTCTGGCGTGTTTTGCGAAAACAATGTCGATAAATTAAATTTTTTTATTTTGTCTAAATGTTTTTTTATCAACACGTCGACCAAATCTCCTTTGAAGCCATTTATTTTCGCCATTTGTTTTATGCGAGCGTATTCAGTCATGTAATTTTGAGTTAATTTACTTTTTCTGGAAAATAAACTATCTTTGCATATAAACTTCTTTTCATCATAAAATGTGCATTTTCCCATCGAATGTACGAAATGAAATTGAGATTAATTTTCTAGAATATTACTTTTCCGTACACAACGTGTCAAAGGGAAAGTATAGGAATTGGTCCCGAAAACTTTTTTCGCAAAATTAGCTTAGATCATCATAAAAACTCATGAAACGCGTAGAAAACCACTTTTTGAGACTCTTTTCCGTTCGTGTGCCGTCGTCGTCGTTGTCGTCGTTGTCGTCGTTGTCGTCGTCGTAGCTGTTTGTAAACACGATAACTCAAAAAATAATTGAGATAATCAAAATCTGGAAATGCCAAAAGTTTTGTATCCGAAAAACTTAGTTTAAGTTCGAAGATGAGCCATTTTTGATTTGATCCTGGGTACTTGCCCTAAGAAAAACCTCAAAAAATTGACACTTTTGTATGGGAGGTACCTGTAAATCGACTCCGATTGGCTTCAAACTTTCTGGGATTTCATTTTTTGGGAGAAAAAAAAAGATTCTGAAAGTTTGAAACCAATCGGAATCGATTTACGGGTACCTCCTATACAGATTTTTTGAAATTTTGACTAAAATTACCGATTTTTGGACAATTTTGTATGGGAGGTATCCGTTAATCGATTCTGATTGGCTTCAAACTTTCTGAGGTTTCATTTTTGGAGAAAAAATAAGATTCTGAAAGTTTCATGTTGATCACATTTGCAGAAGTTTGGTTTTTGGCCCCCAATTTTTTCCAAGAAAATTTCGACAAAAATTGAGGACAAAAAATCAAACTTCTGCAAATGCGATCAACATGAAACTTTCAGAATCTTATTTGTTCTCCAAAAAATGAAACCTCAGAAAGTTTAAAGCCAATGAGAATTTTTCACTTTATTTTTATTATTATGTTTTCACTGCCAAGAAAATTCACAAAAAATAACCAAAAGTACCTACGGACAACGCAGGCCAACGGTACGGAAAAGTTCGGGATTACCAATGTAATTCTTTTTATTTGTTTCAAAATCGAATCGTGCGTGTTTATTTGGCAAAC